CTGAGCGTCTGCGAAACTCCCTTCTGACAGTTGACTCTAGCGGGGACTGAAGTTTCCCCCCAGAACCGCCTTTCTATCGCCACCCACCCTCCCGATCCCGTTAGGGTACGTGTAGGACAGAGCCCCTCAAAGAGGCCTGCAGCTCCCTCATCTGCTCGTCCACCTGTCCCTGTCCAGACGGGGACCCCAGCACCCTGGGGCGGGGTGCGAGGGGCCCTGTGCTCCCTGCAGCAGGCACAGCAGAAAGCAGAGCTGGGACCCAGGACGCCGCCGAGTCAAACAGGCTGCCCAGTGCGCTGGGCTGGACACTCAGAGCCTGCCCCTCCTCCCACCTCCATCTCCCACCTCTCTGCTGCGTTCTCTGTCACACGGCCAAAAACTCCTGTTCCCAAGTCCCCTGTACGTTATTTCTCCTGATACAGACACCATGGGGACTCTTCTTCTGGAAGCATCTGATACATCAGAGAGAGGCTTTCAAACTTCTCTGCTCATGGCCCATAGTAAAAGTGCATTTTCTATTGCAGCTAAGTGTTCTCTCTCTCTCTCTCTCTCTCTGTCTCTGTCTCTGTCTCTGTCTCTCTCTCTGTCTCTCATCTAAATCAAGTTTCAGGAATCAATACTTCCTTTCCTTACATGCGAAGCCTTCTGTTGCTTTCTATTCTACCCTTCCCACGAGGCACCAACCCCCACGTTTCAACAATGCTGGTTGAAATCCACTAAACTGATTTCCCAATCCCCTAAGTGTTTATGGTCAGCAGTTTGGAAAGCACTGGCCGAGACACTAATGATGGGGCGCCATGGCCCTCCCCAAGGGGCAGGGAAGAAGGAAAGCTTCCTTAGCTCTCGTTCCCACAGCCGGGCTCCTCCTGCCCTTTGCCCCACATCCCACCTGCCACTTGTGATTAAATAGCAGTTTAACACCCCAAAGCGCCCTTTCAGGCAAAGACTCACTCGATTAGGAGGAGCTGGCGGGAGCCTAAAGCAGATTAAGGGAAGACAAAGGAAGCTTTGGGGTTTATCTTCAGCTTTCTAGTTTCTAAGAGCTCTGCTCTCTTCCTGTGCTCAGTCCCAAGCATCAAAGGGAGGGACGGAAGGGAGGGAGGGAGAGAAGGAACAGGAGGGAACCCTCCCACTCCCTCACCTGCTGAGGCCAACCAAAGACACTAGCCAGTCACCTCCACCACCCCAGCTCCACCCACCCTAAAGTGAGTGTGGCCTTCCTGCTGGGAAACTCAGACAACTTCTCTTCCTCCCTTCCTCCGTCCCCTCTCTCCCCTTCCTCTCTCCATCCCTTTCCCCCCCTCCTCTATCCGACCGTCCAGTGTCCAGTCAGTGGACATTGCGGCTGTCCGTTGCATGCTGGCTGCCCACACAGAAGCGAGGACCCAGAGGAGGACAGGCTGCTCTCAGAGCTTACGGTCAGAGCTGACCCTCCACTGCCTCCACCCAGGGGCTTCTGTGAAATGCCCACTTCTATTGTGGGCACCGTGGGCTTCCTTGGCGTGACATTTCTCAGACACACTCCCTGGGTGGACATCCTTAAGACGTTGTCAGTGGTTTAGCTCAGGGACAGGTGCTGCTGCCCCAGCCCCTCCAGGGGGGCGTCTCCCTGCTCCGACCCCACCTCTCGTCTCCTCCAGCCGCCCAGACAGCCATCTGTGCGGCGGGCTGAGCCGCACACAGAAGGTGCTCGGCAAACATTTGCCGCGTCCTCTGCAATGGTCCAGCTGGGCCCCTTTACAAATCTGATTCTGTCTAGACCAGCACCATCCAATAGAGTTATAACGTGAACCGCATGCGTCATCAGTCGTTTTCCGGTAGCTACCCTAAAAACAGTGCAAAGAAACAGGCAAAATTAGCTATAGTGACAGATTTCGTTTAACTCCCTAAATCAAAAAACATGATCACTCCAACATGTAATCAATATAAAATTAGGAAGATTTTCATTTTTTCTTTTCTTTTTTCAGTGCCAAGAGCTTGAAATCCAGTGTCTATTTCACACTGCAGCACGTCTTAGTTTGGAATCGCCACATTTAGAATGTTCAGGAGCCACATGTGGCTCGTGGCTGCCACCCTTGGCAACAGCTCTGGCTCTGGCCAGGCGTCAGGGCAACCGGGGCCCAAGCTGGGGCTCAGCTCAGGAGGAAGGCGGCAGGTGAGGCTCTCCCGCCACAGGTCACCCAGCGGGCTGAGTCTGGGAGCTTCGCCACTGCAGCCGCACCCCGCTGCCCTCCCGTGCCTTCCCCACCTGACACTGTACCTGGTGAGGGGAGCAGGACAGGGAGGGAACGGAAGGAATGGCTGGGGACTTAGAGACCTGTAAGCAGCTGCCCCTGGTAAGGAGTCCACGCTGACCCCACGCCTGGGCCTTACCTGTCAAGAGCCTCATCAAGAAGCATGCCTCGCCGGCACACAGATCTCTGCCGGGCCACATTTGGCACAAGGCGAGTGACGGCTGAGTTAAATTACTGTATCCATGGTGCAGTCACCGAAGACTTGCAGCCCTCGATCATTTTCAGCTGTCTTTTCGGGGACAACAGAGACACATACAGATTGGCAATTTAACATGAGCTCATTTTATTAGACGCAATCGGCCATATGGCACTTTGTGACGAGTAAACGTGCTCCTTTTACAATCAGTGCTGTTCAGCCTACTCGGTAATGAGCTCGCTAGCCGTGTTGTCTTCCCTTAGAAGAATCCATTTAACTGCCATGAGTGAGTCAGTTTTACGTAAGTGACATCTCTGAGTGGAACGCGGTGCCAGCTGGTCACACGCCAGGTTGTACGGCTCCGTCCCAGAATGTTAGAGTGGGGAAGGTTTTGGTTCTTTCCCTGTCCTGAGGCTTTTGAACTTTTCCTTCTAAGTGCAAAATCTTCTTTCAAACGAGAGCTTATTAAGGGGAGGTCCGATGAAGACGAATTCTTCTGCAGGAGGTGGGGGTGGGCTCTGCCTTCCTCCTTCTTCCCTGGGCAGCTCTGTGTGGTCAGGGCTCGTTGCAAAACCAGCAGTGCCAGGCAAGCCCCTCATTGTACACATCATGAAAGCAGGGCGCAACGTGGTTGTGCATCATGTAGTCAACACGATGCTGGGATAGAGCCAGGGTCAGAATTCACCCTCAGATTCCAAGACCTCTATTTTTTTTTTTTTTTGAGATGGGATTTTGCTATGTTGCCCAGGCTGGAGTACAGTGGCTATTTCACAGGTGTGATCATAGCTACAGCCTTGAACTCCTGGGCCCAGACGGTTCTCCTGCCTCAGCCTCCCCCAAGTAGCTGGGACTATACGTGCATGCTGCCACCAAGACCTCTGTTTCAGTACCACGCTCTTCCAGCGTTCTGTGGAAGACCTTTGCAAACATACAAGTGATCCTGTACATAGAAGCAGTTGTAATGAGAGCTTATTGAGTGCTATGAGGGACCTCCTGCAATGGACTGATTCACATACATTTCTTTTATCCTCACAATAATCCAATAATTTGACTGGTCTTCATTTCACAAACAAGGGTGCTGCCACTCAGCTATGCAGCCTTCCCAAGGTCATACAGACAGCAGGAGAGTGGTCAGATTGAACCCAGCCTGACCCAAACCCATGGCCTTCACAGTTCTGCCTCCCTGCGTCCCAGAGATCTGGCTGCAGATCAGGTGGATGGAACACACGGCACAATTTCTCATGCAAAAAGCATTATTAGTGGTAGCTGTATCCCACACCAGCCCACCAAATTCAAACTGCAATCAGAATGATGTCACAGCCCCAGCCCAAACACAGTCATCCTCACCTGCTCTCAAGACCTGGGAGCTGCTCCAAGTCCTGAACCGCTAACCCCATGAAGGCTCGGGCACCATGGGCTCCCATGTTCTCTGAGTTCAGAGATCTTGAATCTGTGCCTACAGCACTCTGAGAAGATCGGCTGCTGGGGCCCTGCTGCAGCTGAGTTGGTGGAGGTTTTGATGGGAAAGGGCAAGGAGGGGTCCCACAGGGCTCTGGGGGCTCCTTGGCAACAGCAGGGGAGGATTCGGAATGGGCGTACGGATGTCAGGGAAGACTCAGGCTGGGTGGGAGGGCAGATTCCAACAGACAGGGTAGCTGGAGTTAGTTAAGTTCTACATCTGGGAGATCTGTACTTAACAGGGGTGAAGTGGGCTGTGGGCAAAGGCCTGGAGCTGGACCCTGAATACATCATGCCATCTGCATAGAGAGAGTTTCAGGATATATCAGCTCTGTGGTCTGGCTTTTCGTCTGCTCAGACCATCTCTGACCAACTGCCACCACTGTTCTGGTTGAGCGGAAGAACATAAGCCTACATCAAAAACCACAGGGGTGCAAACCAAGACTGACATGGGACCAGCAAGGCACTGTGGGGCTCCCCTGAAGGAGGCGGCTGGGCCCCGGGAGTCTGGCCGGCCTTATCTTTGACAAGGGCTCAGAACTGGCCTGTTGCTATCACTCTAATTCCTCTCCACTGTGTCCCTGCTTGGATCGGGTTGGCTGAGCCAAGACAAACGTTGCACATGAGCTCTCTGTTCTGAGATCGCAGCTCGGATGTGCTATCTGAAATGTGGGTTTTGGACTGGCGTCCTAACCAGAAAAAAATAAGCATGAAATTTTGAAACAAAAGAAAATGTTAACTTGAACCATTTCAGAAATCACTTTACCTTAAAGCTATTCAAATCCAAACACTGCTAATAGCAAAGCCAAGACTTAAATGGGTCCTTCGGGGAAAGAAGTGAAATGGGGGGATTTCCAGAGATGAATCAGGAGGTTAGAGTCTGCAGTACATTAACATTTTACAAAGGTAAAAGGTTAAAAAAAACCAGCCCCAGGGGTTGCCATGCACGCTGACAGGAGAGGGTTGGACACTCCCGTCCCTCCTGCACTGCAGGTCTCCGAGATTCACTTTTACCGCAGTCACTCCGTTCCCCCTTTCTTCCTTTGATTACACAGGGCTAGTTCGGAGGGACATGCTCGAGGAGAAAGGGCTGGAGACGGTGGGAGATGGCATGGCAGTGAGGGACACCAAAGTACCCTGTCCCTGCAGAGGGGACTCAGAGACGGCAGCTCCTCGGAGCCAGCAGGTGAGCTCAGGGACACCACCTTCCCAGTGCGTTTTCAGGGCAACTGATCAAGTTCTTCCCACACGTGTGTGCCTTTCCCCCACCCAGGGAAATAATGGGGGAAGGGTGTTAGTTGCCTGAACATAGAAGTGAGACCTAGATGATCAGCTGAGACCAGACCTCGGAGAGCTTCGAAAGCTCTGAGGGTTTGGACTTGATTCTCTAGGCGGATGTACATAATCACATACAAACCCATGGATGCTCTCGAGTTTATGTTCTCACGTGGGCGACAAGCAACTACGTAAGCAGTTGCTTTTAATTACAACCTTCGTGGGCCTACCAAGGACAGGTATGAGTTGCTCTGACAGCGGATAATGGGGACAGGACTTCCTCTGTGGTTACCAAAAGGAGAAGGGCCAGACTGAGGGGAGAAGGATCATGAACTCAGTTTTGGAAATGTTGAACTTGAGGGGGTCTGTGGGTGCCAAGTGGCAAAGGGAAGCAGACAGTTAAAATTTGACCAGCTATGCCAATCTGGAGCTCAGGAAGGAAGAGAGGGTGCAGACATGGACACAGTTGGATGAGGTTAAGGTAAGGGGAAGAATATAGGGAAACAAGAGGGTCTAGCATGGAGCCTTCACAATACCGTTTAGAAGTCAGGTAGAGAAGGATGAATCAGCAGACAAGAATGAGGAACCAACGTGTCTCACTCATTAACTACTGCGTTTCAGGGCCAAGCCCAGTGCTTTGCAAGAGTAATCATAAATGTTTATTGAACTGATACATACAGCATCTTGGCTGTCTTTTCCCAGGGAGAGAAACCAAGCTGTGTTACTCAGCTCTGGCTGCAATGGTGCTGTGTAACAAATGAGCCTAAAGCTCAGGGACTCTCCAGGCTTCCCAGCCAGTTCAAGTCTGTTCCACATGCCCCAGCCAGGGCTGAGCCTGAAGGCCAGTGGTGACTCACGCTTTCTCATGGCAAACACTTTTTTCCCCTACCTCAGGTTTATTCGTACAAATAGTACAGGAGGCCCCCAGCCCCATGCAGACAGCAGCCCAGGGGTCACACCAGTCCTTCTGTCCTCATGTTGGCAGACAGAGACCTCTACTCTGGAGCCTTTGTGGGGGCCTGGGCACTTTTGGGAGCCTGAGCTGGAGCTGGAACTGAAGCTGGTGCTGCTGCTGAAGCTGTGGAGTGGGCCTTTGTTTGATTCTCAGCCTTTGGCTTGCAGAGCCTGAGACCCTTGGCAATGCGCGCACAAGCACGCTTCCCAAGCTTGGGGTGGGCAATGTAGGCAAGTCGACTGAGCTTGCAGCTCCTGCCTTTTGGGATCTTAGCCTTAACCTCCTTGGGCTTTACGAGGGCCTTGATAGCTTCAGCACGTGCACTCATGGCCTTGGTGTTGTTGCCCTGCATCTTCTTCAGGCCCTTCTCATTGTACTTCTTGGCGAAGCACATGTTCCTCGGGAACTTGGGGTCCACCCCTTTAAGAGATTTGTATCTTTGTGATCAGGGTTTCTTGATGCCATTTCTGTGCCACTTTTGGGACTGGTTGTGTGTGGTGTGGTTTTTGGACTTGGCCATATCTACACCGTAACCCGCAGCTGCCAAAGAGCCTGAGACAAGAAGAGATGGCAAACACTTTTAGAGCTCACATCATACCCACCCACGCTCCATTGCCAAGCCATGGCCCAGCCCAAAATCAAGAGGCAGGTAGTAGATGAGAAAGAACACCTGCTTTCAAGCCTGAGCGATTTGGGTTCAAATCCTAGTTCTACCCCTAATAAATGCATGAACTCAATCAAATTACTTAACCTATGTTAGCCTCATGTCCCTCTCCTTTAACATGGTATAATGGTATCTCCTAGAGGGGCCGTGGGAATTAAACATGATGCACATGAAGTACCTATGACACGTGGGACGTGTGCAACATCAGTAGTTCCTGTGGTCCATGACCTCACCTTCTAACTATAGCACTGAACCTGAACAGCCTGGCTGCATATTCTGGGCAGCTCAGTGGTAACACTCACCCTAAGATGAGATGTACCCTGGGGCTGGGAAGGAGACAGGAAAGATAATCAAGAAGTCTGAAGGCGGGATCCAACTCAACCATTTACCAAATGCCTCCCAGATTTCCTGGAGCTGATATTTAGTTTCTATCCAGTCCAAATCCACTTCGCCTAGAGGTGTCCTTACGAGAAATCCTCTTGCTTTCCAGGGCCAGGCTTTAGTTCTTGCCTGTGTTTTGAGTGAGACAAAAATATTAAGGAGGGATAAAATTCTGCAGGCAGACAGCTTTTCCAAATGGGACTTTTCCCAGATTGCATTTGAACTAGACCTTGGCCTGAAATGCAATATCCAGAGCTTTCTTTGCAGCTTCCCTTATGGTTTGAGAAGGCTTTTTCCGTGAATGCTTATGTAAAGATGAAGAATTTGTATGATCCAATGAGATGTCTGGCATAAGTCCCAGGCTGTTCCACTGAAGGCTATTTTCTTTTCTTATCCGCTGTTTAGTAAATCACCCGAGCAGTGACCAGGAAATAGATGCTCCGAGTTACTGCTGTCATCTTGATTTCATAATGATCATTCAATATGTTTGTCTTTATAGCTCTTAAGAAATGTATTTCTGAACTTCAGCATTTTTTCTCAGGTCTTAGGCAGTGGGTTTTCTTTGATATTAACTAATTTATTCTACAAGCATTATTGAGCATTTGCACGTGTCAGGCACCTTAATATTGCAGCCACTGCCCCTGTGGAATGGATGGATGAGGGGACAGAGGCTCAAAAGACTAAAGTTTGCCCAAAGTCTACCACAAGTTGGAGCTGAGATCGGAAGTCATACATTCTGAGAGGACCAGCTACATAATTTGCAAAGCCCAGTGGTTGATGAAAACATGGGAACACATCCAAAAATTACTGAGAATTTCAAGATAGCAACAGCCAGACATTAAACCAAGTTAAAGGCCCCCTTGCAGCTGGCCCTGTTCTCTAAGTCATAATTTTCAAATCAGTTTCTACTCATTCCATAATTAAATGAGTATGAAAGAAAGTGGATGTAGTAAGGAGTAGCGTTGGAACCACCAATAATCCCTGAGATAAATAACGAACAGGAAATCCACATATGGTATTTCTGTTTGCCGGCCTGTTGTTGGAATTAAATGTTTAGGCAGAGTCCTACCTTGATAAATCTTTAACAGCAGAACACCCCAACTTGAATTTCCAAATCCCTCCATCACACACAAAGGAGCTAGGATTTGCAAGAGCACTTGTCCGTGTACGGATTCTGTAGAAAAAGACCTTGCACACATCAGTGGCCAAACCAGCCCAGTGTGCGAATCTCTTGGTCGTTTGTGCACTAATAGATTATTAGCAGGGGCTCTGCCTGTGGTTTTTCTGATTCCTGTCTTTTCAAAGGGAATGCCAACTACCAAGGGAAGAAAGCTCAAAACAACTCCACCCTTTAGTTGAGATTGTACATCAAGGTCAGCCTGATTAAACCAGAAGTCTTCACCCTGCTTTCTGACAGGGATGTGTCCTACCTAGTCCACCCTACAGGAATGCAAAACATGGGTTTTTCAACCTCAGAGCTCATTTGTTTGCCTGGAGCTAGTGCATGCGAAGATACATGAGCAGAGGGCTGGATAGATGTGCCAATCAGACAGCACACACATCTGGCTGGAGTCAGTAGTCTGGGCTGTCATCTAAGCAGGAATTTGCTCCATGAGATTAGAAAAACTACTTCACTCTCAGGGCCTCTGTTTTCCCACCTGTGAAATGAGGAGGTGGGACCAGATTAAGTCGAAATCTCCTTCCAGCTCTTGTTGTCATCTGGGTCATCTGCATCTTCTGGGCCTTCCATAGTCCTAGGAAGGAGGCCCTGGCTCATCAGAGAAAGGCAGAAGAGAACAATTAAGTGTCTTGGTTTGTTTCACAGCTGAAACCCAGGAGGCCTTGCAGCCTGGTGCAGGCAGACATCTTGGGGAGGTTCCTTCCCTTCTCTGATCCCCTGTGGGGCTGGGGCTGGAAGGTGCAGACAGAGATCATGCAAGTAGCCGCCCTGGTGGCCAGGCCTCAGCTTCAGCCAGACAGTGGTGGCCCCCAACGTGGGGAGCTGCCCTCTGTGCCTGGCTCTGCTTTCTTCTCCCTTGTGCCGATGGTTCATACACCTTTGTGTCTCCTTTGATTTTCAGAACACAACACTAAATGTGTTCCCAACAGCCCCTTGGACTCCCTATCTCACAAAGCCAGGTTGAGGGGAAAGAGGAGCTCCATGTCAAAAAGAGTCTCCTCCTTTCATCCCTTCTCCATGTCTAGGTGTTCTTCCATCAGTTCTTGCATCTAATACTCATTTTCAAAACGTCCCACGTTGTGTACAGGCGCTGAAGGGACAGATGACTGAAAGGGCAGAGCTCATCCAACAGACTTCCCCTCCTTCATTGCATCTCTCTCCGGGTTCTCTGCATCTCACATTTGAAAAGGAGAGCCCTGGGCACTGTCCTTGGTCACAGTGGAAGCTTCATTGACTTGGAAATACACCAAGCTCTGCTGTCTCTCCAGCCCTGCTACTGACTGGATGGATGGCTGATCCCAGGAAGAGAACACTGTGCATCCATAGCCAGCAGGAGAGCAAGGCTGGGTGGGAAGACCTGCTCCATGGGCAGCGATGAGGGTTTTGGAAGGAACTCACCAAACTGTGAGCTCCGCAGAAGAAATGATGAGGTCAGGTCTTGAGATTCTTAGTGTGGGAGGTAGAAAGGGGATTGATTGGGGTGGGGCGTGAAGGAGTGAAGTGGGCATTCCTCTGCCATTTTAGGCAAAGAAGAAGAATCATTCATTCCCCTTCCTCCCCCTCCATAGCCTGCATGTGTGCGCATGCCTACACATACACAAATGGGTAAAAAATAGTAATATTAAAGTTGAAGTTTCCACCAGACTGGTAAACTAGCTGTGGAGAATTTAAAATGGTTTTGGGTAAAGTTTCCAAGGAAAAGAGAATTATGCCTTCATAGCAGTCTTTCTC